CGAGATTTGGTGTGGAATAACGCGTAAGGTCTCAAAGACCAGATTTCATGGCGTATTCCATTGCTCCTTACCTTTCATTGCTTAAGGTGCCATTTAACTTCACGGAATTTGAGCAGCTGCAGTACCTCATGCATCTCCCATCATATCTTGATGTTTATGTGACGATTTCTGATTTTGTATTCACATAAATATACGTATCATAATGCGCGAAATTACAACGCGAAGTCTAACGTAGGAGGGTAGGTTATTACTATCAGCCCCATTCTCACCTTCTCTAAATCCCCGATAATCTGTTGTAGATTTAGTGCATTGCGTATGGCATGGCGTTACGCATATAAGTATAATTTTTCATATTCTGGCGAACATTCTTTCAGCGTATGCTGTCATGTCGTATGCATTTTAAAAAACATCTTCAGTTTTTATTTATTAGATAAAGATAATAATTAGAATGCTCCGTTCGTTGCCTGTGATCTTCTGTGTGTGTATTATACATGCATACGAAATGATATATGCCAAAAATGCTTAAGGTGATGCAGACTCCTCCAATAGCAGATTGCACGGCGCATTGCATCATCCCTTGTTCTTCGTTGTCTAGAGAGGCCATTTATGCAGGCCACGGCTCCGCTGAATTACTGATACGGTTCATATGCTACTGCATTAATATTACATATTGTTCATACGTCGAGTATGTCAGTGATACATGATTCCTCGAGACTAGATTTTACGGCGTATTGAACAGCCCCACACCCCCTTTCTTAATTGTGTTAATCGTGGACTCCAAGGACACACAAGTTAATGTTGCACAAAAACTTATTATATTGATGCAAACTGCTGTAACTTTTCGAAATATGCTGGATTCTTTTCAAACATTAAACGCAATCGAAGGACGACTTGGCGGTTAGAAATCCTGCTGCTACGCACCGTGCTTGTCACACGATTCCGGATATTATAATATCTTCTGAGTGGTTTATTTCAACAGACGTCGAGGAATTAAATCTTGTACACTTCTAGAACAAAGGATGGCTTTAGGCGAGATGGATTTATAAATTTTTATCCACCATTTCGACTTCCTGAACGGAGGCCATTGTCCGGGTGAAAAAAGTAATTCCAAAATAAAGTATGTTGAAAAATGCAATACGCAGTTACAGTAAAATTTCTAAACTACGTGTAGTAAAGATCGACAAAGTACAGTAAAGACGGAAAAAGGCAGGAAGGTGTGAAACACTTATTATACAAGAGACAGAAAATTATAATGGAAGGTGGGCATTACATTAGAAACTTCGTAGCTCAGCAGATGTCTACAGAACTGGTGTAATTGTTGAAAAACTTCGCTTGCTGAGGGAAATGTTTAGGGACTCGATAAGGAACTACAGAGAAGTATGCTGCTTGTAGCAGACTTTTGATAGCCAAGTATGGTGACTTTTTTACCGTTGAAATTGTATCTGCACTCTAAGGCACATGCAACGGTTCCCGGAACGTGCTGCACTTCGGGGACTCCGTTCTTTACCTGACACCGTTTAGGCA